GAAGCGAGGCAGCACCGTTGTTTTAGTTGTTGCTGTGTGGCGGCCCTCCAAATCCCTTGAAGACCGCACATGCTTTCTGACACCATGGGTAAACCCAGACATTCTGACATCCCCAACCCCCTCCCCTAAACCCTTGAAGACAGCACATGCATTCTGACAGCATGGGTAAACCCAGACATAAAAATCTTTGAAGACCCTACCCCCTGACTGAGATCATAAAGGGGCAAGCAATGCACTGCAAGACCCAGGCCACCCCAAACTCCTGCAGCCGCACAGTTTATCGCTGGTGCCCTCACGTTGCTTTCCGTCCGGGGCATTCCGAAACCTCCTCCATCAGCAGTCGAAAACCGTCGTGTCATACTGAGCCGACAGCCCACTGCACCTGTCGATCCACGGACCTCAAGTCGGGCCCAGATTTCCACCATGATCACGTCTTGGCCATCCCTGTCCCTGTCCCAAGAGGCCCGCAGCTGTGCGAAGCTCTGCGCCATGATCACATCTTGTCCTTCCCTGTCCCCGTCGCAAGAGACCCGTTCCCCTCCAAAGCTGTCCCCGGTTCTTGTTTCTTTCCGCCGAGGTCTCATGCGCCTTGCAGCAGCAATTCTGCCAGGGAGGGGGTTTGAAGGGGGGGGGTTAGTTGGGAAGGAGAACAAAGGAGGGGGGGGAGGCTGTGTAGGGGACGAAGAAGTGAGACAGCAGTATGTAGGGCCAGCCATTTTCGTTCCGCCTCCAGTGTTTCCAGGATATCTGCGAATCATGGATATCTGCAATCACTCTCATCGGACCTAGCCAGTCGTCCGAGAACTGGTCCGTCATTTCCATTGTTTTCTGTGTCTTGGCGTGAGGGGAGAGGGTCGGGTCGTCGTCTATCAGCCGTATCCGGTCGCGGAGGTGGTCCCAGGCTGCTTTCACCCTGGCTGTCAAGTAGTTCGTGATTTGTTCTTTGGCTTGCGGGAGCCTGAACGTATGCTGGTTTCGTTCGAATGAGCAGCGGGCTCGCCAGGCTATCATCAGCAGCTCCAGTCTTGTGATTTGAAAGAGGTTCCTTTCCTAGGAGGACCAATTTGGTGGGATGTCCTCCCGGCAGCCCAGGAGCAGCATCCTGGGTTGCCAGGGGAACTGGGAGCCTGTGAGTGCGGTCCATGCAGCGTCCCACCACCTCCATATCTGGGAGGCCATGAGGCAGCCCAACAGGCAGTGCTCCAGGGTCGCTCGGGCGGGCTGGGAGGTCCTGCAGCAGTAGCGACATATAGGTGAAAGGAGGCCTCGTTGTTCCAGGCTTGTTCTTGTAACGAGCCAATCGGGGGTGGGCAGACAACGGTACAGGATCTGCCACTGGAGTGCCCTGTGCGCCGCCGGCAGTATGTGAGTATATTGTGGCCACGAAAAGCCGCTGAGATCTTCCGGGGGAAGGATGGAATTCCTCCCCCACCGTCTCTTGATCAGGGCATGCGTCGGGCAGGTTCTATGGAGTCTGCGGTAACCGTGTTTGACGGTGTATTGCCCGATTTTGAGGGGCTGGGCAGGGGGAGGCTGTGTCCATTGCCACTCCAGCGGATGAAAGGGAAGAGTGGCCAGGGGAGAATCAGGCCGAAAGGCTGAGGATGTTCCATCCGTGTCTTCCAGCACTCGCACTCTGACCAGGCCGGACCAGGTGGAGTCGTGATCCGCCTCCTCATTTCTTAGCAGCTTAGAGGACCTCGCCCCAGGCCGGGATATGTTGTACGCCTCCAATCGAACGTGGTGATCGGACTTTTGTGCCACCCGACCAACTAATGTCGGCAAGCAGATTTGTGTCCATTGGACCACCCAGTCTCCTTGTTGGATGGTGGGACCTTGCTTAAGCTGTTGTATCCAAGCCAGGGGGACGGCCTCCTGCAGCTGACGCAGTTTTTCGATCCTGTCTCTGATGTATTTGAGTTTGCCAGCCATTTGATCATCAGATTTCCATGTGATATGTTTGAAGTCCCATATATCGGCCAGCAGAAAAACCCCCTTGGCCACCCAACCACACCAGTGTGACCTGTTATCGAGGCGGAAGGGCTTCCCCTCATGATCGCAAATGTTGGGGTTTCCGAAGAGCGGTTGTTTAATAATGTCGTGCCAGCGAATCGGCGGGGGAAGCCTGTCTGGGCCCGTTTCCCGCCACAACTTGACCATGCCAGGCCACAGGGGGTCATTTGCAATGTCGTTCCTGGCCTGAGCTCGCGGTGTCTGTGGATTTGGCGCGGTGGATACTCCGGGGACTGTCCAAGAGGGGTTGGTAAGCCATTGGAGCGCATGGACGGGAGCATCCACGGGAGAGGGGGGGGSCAAATTTGACAGTTGCAGTTCGGCATACGGGGCCCACAGTATGTCATTGCCCATGAGCAGGCGAATCAAGATCTTGAAGGACAGGGCTTTCAGCTGGTCTTAGGCTCCAAAATAGCGAGCCCACCCTTGGAGCGGGGTTGGGCTATATAATCCCACGCGACCCTAGGGAGGAACGAAGGGTCTTCGTGGTCGTTTTTCCATACATAGGCAGCCGCCGCGCATTTCAATCTTTGAAGGGGTTTTGGTTGAATTGGCCAGCAAGCAGCCTTGTACCACATGGTAGAAAAAATGACCGTATTTAGAGCTAATGCTCTCCCGACTATGGAAGTGTGCAGGGCCTTCCACCTGGCGAGTCTCCTCATTGCCTCCTCCACCAACGAAGCCCCGTGATCCGGCGGAGGGCCCATCACTGTAAGTGCAACCCCCAGCACCCGAATCGCTTCCCCTCGATGTTTCCAAGTCACGGTCGGTTCAGGTGGGGGAGGGCAGTCCAAGGGGTGGAGCCACCAGCCCTCAGTCTTGGATCCCCAGTTGACCGCCATGTCCGACGCCGTTGAGAAGGTTTGTATGGTGTCCACGAGGGCCTGAAGGGAGGAGCGGTCAGCTCTCATGAGTACCGTCAGATCGTCAGCGAAGAGCGACGTGACCGGAATCAGATGTTGCGGTATTTCAGGGACGTCAATCTTTTGTATGAGAGGGTTGGCCCTTATAGCAGCCGCCAGGGCCTCCATGATGATGACGAAGAGTAGGGGCGCTATAGGGTCCCCCTGTCTGACAGAGCGTTCCAGGGGAAAGGGGTTAGAGAGGTGGCCATTGGCCATCACGTTGGTGGTCGCTGTTCTATGGAGAGTGTCAACCCATCTCCTAATATTTGGTCCCATGTTCATTGCTTGCATGCACAA